AATGGAGCCATGGCCATATATTGGAGACTTTAATTGACATTTTCTGCTCACCTTTGTCGTCTTTGCACATGTGAGCCATGTGGCTGGCTTGGATGTTGTTTGTCATGCTACCTGTGTAAAGTGGTGGACAAAGCAGTGGCAGGTCTGGAGGCACGAGGGGGCGGGCAGGTCGGTCAGTATTGGTCTATGTATGATACGTTAGCTCAGAGATGAAGACCGCAGCAGGTCAGGCTCGCCTCAGACATGATTATGAATGATTGTGATGCTTTGATGGCGTTACAGTTTGTGCAGTCAGGGCTCAAAGCATCATCCATGCAGACCAGCAGTGTTGTTTGGTAACTTAAAGAAAAACCAACTCTTACATCACTGTGATGGTGCTGGGTTAACTGGGTCCTTCTCGCAGCTTCAGATCGCACTGAGAGAGCTTCAGAAGCAAACGTATTTTTCATGGTGTCTTTTATTTTGATAAAAGACCAAATGCTCTATGCATTTGGTTCCTCTGTCTGACTTCCTGCCTTCCTCAGCAGCTCTCTGTGACAGACGGTCACAACAGAGAGCTGTGGAATCACGAGAGCTGTCATGAGTGGACAGGATCAGCTCTGTCAGTCACATCTGAGCAGGAATGTGAGGAGGATTTTCCCTTCATGCCAAATGCTTGAACAAAATAGCACAACAAAACCTAAAAGAGGAATATGATATCACACAGATTTGTGAAGTGAAACAAAATGGGCCTTTCAACAACAACATGTGAAGAATTTCTCTTTTTATTATTATTTCGTAATAAGAACCTGATGGTTTATCATTATTTCTATGCGCAGTTAATTTTAGGTCCACCCTTAATGCGACTTCATCAAAATTCATTTCACACTGATGGCCGAGTTCTAATCGCACATAAGTTTATTTGCTCCTCCTTCAGGCCTTCAGTCACGCTTTCACAGATTAATCTGATCCTCATATTTCACTTTATGTCACAAGATTTCGTGTATAGTGGGTATAGTGTGGGATTTAAAAAGTAAAGCTATGTTGTACTACAGTTACGGAACTCAGCTCCTGTATAACACTAATATAATAATAAGTCAATTATAATATCAATAAATCTGTATAACCTAAAAACAGCGTTGGGTCTCGTCCAGATCAGATGACAGATGACGCTAGAAACTGTTATTTTACACACAGACTCTGTGACTTCACTTAGCCTCCCCCTGCTCCACCTCAGTGCTAACAGTGAAGTTTCTCACACGTGTGAAGCTGCAGTGACCTTGCTGAGATAAAGCTGCTGCTGCTGCTGCTGCTGCTGTGGGCTGATGGAGGAACCTTGGTGGAGGTTCCATGCCTGACGTTAACGCCGACAGGTTACCGGCTTCCTATAGAGACAGACCCTCCCACTCTCCCACCCTCCTCCCTCTTTCCTGAGTCATCACGGCTCCGTAGCTGTCCCTCATCTCTAGCGCCGCCCACCAGCACCGCCTCCGCTCCAGAAACCGCAGGGGTTTGTCCCCTAAGCGACCCCTCCCATCTCCTCCTCTCCTCCTCCCATTGGTCTGCTCCTCCCCTCCCCTCCTTCCCTCCCGTCTCTATCACTCCTCTGTATCCCCTCTCTTCCTCTTCCTCCATCCTCTGTCCTCACTGCGAGCGTGTTTGGATTAGAGGACGAAGACGCAGAGGAAGAGCGTTTGGAAGCACATGCTCCCTGACAGGAGAGAGGGGGGAGGCTCGGCTTCTCCCTCCCCTCTTTTCTCTCCACAGCTGGAGGAAAAGATGTGAGGAGCACAGAGGAGCGGAGGACCACCTGACTGTCTGTCTGTCTGTCTGCCCGTCTGTCTGCCGGCATGCTGAGGAAACTGGTCTGCAGGCGGATCTGCTCCTGTAAGCTCCTCTTCCTCTGGACTAAATCAAATATTGATATCGATTTGCAGCCATGATCGGTGATGAAGGTGCGGTGCGGGTACAGCTGTGATTCCAGGGGGAACGCATGTGCCTGGTCTCGATCGTAAACACAGCAGGATTTTGTCTTTTCCTGGCCTGCTCCCTGCTGGATTGTTGTGTGGACAATACATAGGAAGTGATGTGTGTTAGGGTTCAGGTCAGGAAGCTGCAGGAGCAAGTGTGATGAGTAAACACTGAAACTTTTAATCTACTTGTGTGTGATCAGAGTGGAAGGACGAGCTGATAAAAACTCAGCCATGAAGAGCCATGAAGGTTAAATCTGATGTGAAAGGCTTCATTCTGTCGCCCGTCCTCCTCTGATTCTGTAAATAATGTCTGTGGTGCACTTTGAGGGCTGTTGTCACCTCGTTTTCTTTGTCTCTGGCATTTTTAAGAATCCTCACACAAGTACAGATCATTAACCTCTGAAATCCACGAGGGCCTGTTTACTCTTATGTTTATGGTCACGTCTGTTCCTTTACTTAACAGGCATACCCACAGGCAGAGGTTAGAACTGAAGAATTATAAGGCTTGATTCAAAGCTGTGCTTCTTTAGGTTGTGGCTAAAATGTAACCTCAGTGGTTCACTGTTAGCCAGGTGGATGTTTGGACTGATGCACTGAAACTTTTCTGTACCGTTTGGTAACAATCTTTTATTTTCATGTCTGAGCAGGAAATATTCTGCCTCAGACACATGCTCACTGCTGGAAATCGTCTGTGTGTTTTAAGAGCCTGTGCCTGTGTTGAGTTTGAATGGACTGGTACTTTTACAGTCATCTTCTACTCAGTTTAAGCACTTATAGTACTTGCTTACAATAAGCCTCATTCACCCACACGCTCATACAAGTGCTTTCTTCATTCTGTACCTAAGCCCTTTTAACCTCACACTCGATTCATTATCTTTGCTGACATATGTCGGCATATGTCTCCTCCAGAGTTTTGATTAACAGATGACCCTTACTGAGTCAAAGCCGCAATGTTTAAAGTAAAAAGAAAAGATTCCTATAATTAGGGGCAAGCAGGTTAAAGACCGGCTAATGTCCGACCTGCAACTGGATCCTTGAACATATAAAAAACAGATTGTTGATCAGAAAGTAGCTTTACCGACGCAGGCTTTTCTTTTTTCCTTATGACACATCACCGAGGCTTTTACAAGGCTTTTCAACAGTAAGACATCACACTGGTGATGATGATACCCCTCTCAGAGAAGCCGTGATAAGATTAAATTCATCGATCGACAGAAAGCAAAGCGCCGTCCAAACATCTTCTTATGTCACGCTGTTAGTAGCTGTAGTTTCAGAGCTGCTGGGGGTGGATTTTCCTCTGGTGCTAACATGTTTGTCACCGTCCTGGTCCTCTCTCGGTGTCGCGCTATGTTTGTGTTATCGTGCTGAACTTGAGGTGACAGGTGAGGCTGTGTTTTTCCCTCACACACACTCACAGTGTGTTATGCTGTGAGGAAGACCTCCAACCTGATGTCACATGACTGATGTGTTGGCTCAGCTCCCTGCTGCTCTGTGTGTGTTTGTGTGTGCATGTGTGTGTTGAAACTCTAAATAATGAAAAAGGATTGATTGCTGGCCTGGCAGATTCCTGTGCTGAGGGGGGCTCACGTGGCGCTCTGGCGTCCACCGCAGGAGACATCTGCACAGGGCTGGGCCTCTTTCAGCTGCTTCTTGTTGCTGTATTTTGGTTCAATTACTGATCAGTTCAAATGTAATAGATTATATTTATAATGATTAGAGGTGAAACAGATGGTTTGCTGGATATTCTCCAGATCTGGCCCCTGAATTGTGAGGATTTGTTGCCTGTTTGTTTTACATGACAGGAAGAGAAGACAAAGACATCGCCATGTGCTCTGCTCATTTCCACATCCACAATCTTTACTCTCAGAAAACTGGTTTTAATTAGTAATTAGATTACATGTAAGTTTTATTTAAAAGTACAATGTAAAATATTTAATTTAGTGGAATCTGATCAAATGACATTTGCTATTTAGCATATATTCAGTTTATACCAAACACATTTCCCTTAATGATTAATTTTGATAATATATATGTCAGCTGCATTTTACTCAGAATGATTGTTTCCTGTTTCTAAAGGGCAACAAATTATTTTATTAGTGTATTCATTTACTATGCTACCGTAGCTTTGCATGATTCACAATTCAAAATAATCCATACTTGTCTTATACTGGGCTGTCATGCTTTAGCTCCTCCTCTAATGTTTTTTACTTTCAAAACTGGGCCTTGTAAACAGCAGGTAGGTGTCTGTATAATTAGGGATATATGCTTCTTTTTGTGGGATCAGTCTCATGTTTTTGCTCAGTGGCATCATACAGATCTGAGAGTAACTGGAAAAAAACCCTGAAAAACTGAGCACGTAAAGAACTTTGAGGCTCAGTGGGTTTATGTGTACATACACTGACATCATTAATTAAATATATATTTGGCATTATAGCAGTGTGTAACTAGCTGGACTAAAACATTTGTTTGTTAAAGATAAGTAATAAAAATACTCAGTATGACCCGTGTCCATTTATCATATCTATAATGATGTATGACAGCAACAAATATTCACATTGGAGAGTCTGAAACCAGCGGATTGTCTCATAAATGATCATTTATATGCGATAATGTGTCAGTATCAAGCAGGGGAGATAAGGGAAACCATCAGTGTGACTCTCTGATGAAGCAAAGCTTTTATTTGTTTATAATAATCATAAAATCTGAGAGTGTGGAGGATACATGTAGTCAGTTTTCAGATGGTTGCCCTGAGGATATGAGTTGGTCCTCCTGTGGTCGCTCTGGCTGGGAACACAGGGCTAATTGTTGTCTTTATTGTCAGGGCATTGTGTCTCTGACCTGCTGCCCTCCTCGCCATTACCAGCTCGCTAATTCGGTGTTACAGGAATGCGAGTTATGCCCTCTGCGTCAGCTGAAGTCCAATTGCAGAAATGTCAGAGTCCTCCTGCTGCGCCGCATTGTTTGGATGCTCGGCAGTGGCGTTTTTCTTTGTGAGAACTTTGTTGTTCAGTCACATGACTGTCCCTCTCTTTTCTTCCTCCCCAACAGACAAGAACTTCGAGGACGATGACTCGGTGGATGGTGGCCGCTCCTCGTCCTCGTCCAAAGGAACCTCGCTGTCCGGGAGGAAGGCGGTGAGCATGGGTTCATTTCGACGCCCTGCCTCTGCCTCCAGCAGCAAATCTGCAGGTCAGAACCACCGCATCTCCACCCAAATTTATTCACGAGGATGTAAAAAAAAAAATAAGATGACATTTTTTTTATGTAAGAAGGGCAAAATCCAGGTGTGTTTTGTGGATCTGTAATTCTTTCTGCTGTGTTTTCTGCAGGGAGGGATGGGTCCAGTGCTGGAGCCGTGGATGAGGAGGACTTCATCCAGGCGTTTGAAGATGTTCCCACAGTGCAGGTTAGTACATATGTGACATGTACTTCAAACTGCTGACCGTCTCCATCTGCAGGGAGTAAGACTCCTGCTCGTGTGTGGACCTTCTCCTCTCTCTCTCCTCCATCAGATCTACTCTAACAGGGAGGTGGAGGAAGCCATGACGAAGATTCGAGACGTGCTGTCGGACGACAAGCGGGACTGGGAGCTGAGAGTGGCAGCTGTAAGAACATGTCCTGACCTTGGCCCTCGCCTCAGTTTGAAATATCAGTGAAGGTGTGTGTGTACTGAACTTTTTTTGTGCTCCACCAGCTGAAGAAAGTGCGTTCGTTGCTACTGGCCGGTGCACCAGAGTTCGACGGCTTCCTGCAGCAGCTGCGTCTCATGGAGGCGGCGTTCAAGCTGTCTGCCAAGGACCTGCGATCTCAGGTGGTGAGGGAGGCCTGCATCACTCTGGGGTAAGGCACATGGCTCACTTGATTTGGACCTCACAAGATAAAAGAAAAGGAAAATAAAACCAGGCTGATCGTCTCCTCCTGCCTGTTATTAGTGCACAGCTGAAATGAATCCATCTGTCTTCCTCTCCATCCATCAGACACCTGTCGTCAGTGCTCGGCAACCGGTTCGATCACGCAGCAGAGGCCATCATGCCAATACTCCTCAACCTGGTCCCCAACAGTGCCAAAGTCATGGCCACGTCCGGCGTGGCCGCCATCCGTCTCATCCTCCGAGTACGTGCGATGAAGCAGAGGCTGCGAGCGGTTTCGATGCTGATCACTGACTATGACATTTAAGGAAGAAAAAGCTTAACTTTAAATCTGTTAAATCTTCATCCATGCATGGTCTGACTTAGCTGCTCTATCTGATCTGAACATGTTCTCCAGACATAACAATGTTAGCCTGATGTCATAACAGGATGGATTTCGCAGAAAATTTGATCCTGCAAATCACATTTCATGTCCAGAAGAAAAGACTTGACTGTTGTCAGATGGAACAAATTTCTTTTTAGATGAATTCAAATGCAGGAGCTTGTCTGTCTGAAGTAAATTAAGAGAGTTCCTTCTGCCTTGTTCTCAACAGCACACACACTACCCACGCCTCATCCCCATCATCACGAGCAACTGTACCTCCAAATCTGTGGCTGTGCGAAGGTGAGACACACTCACATTTTTTCTTTGATCGTTTTTGTCTTTATAATTGTTTCATAATATTTTAGTGTGGTTTTATTTTTTTCCAGTTTCTCCTTTGAGTTCAGTTTGTTTTATTATAGTTTTTATTATTATAATTATATGTTTATATTTATCATTAATTTATTATTGTTTATGGTATTTTTTATCATGTTTATTTTTGATTCATGTTGTCTTTGTTTAATTTCTTTTATTTTTATATGTAGTGTTGTGTTTTTAGTTTTTTCCTTTATTTTTGTGTTTTCTATGTTTTGTTTTTGTTTTCATACATATGTAATTTCTTTTTTAAGTATTTTTCCTTTTAGTACTACTACTATAGTAGTAGTAATTTTTATACATGACCGTATTATGTAAATTATGTTATTTTAATACTTATTTATTTTCTTAATTATAAACATGTTTTATTATTATTATTTCCTCTTTTCTTGTTTTAATTTTATCCCAGTATTTTCTTTTAATTAAGCTTTTTTATTACATTTATATTCATGTGTTTATGTTATATTTTCATATATTTTATTAATATTTGTTTACATTTTTAATTGTGAATTTATCAACTTTTTTTCCTTTTATTTCACTCTAATATTTTTTTCTAATTTAGCTTTATTTTATATATATTTCAATTTCATTTGTATTTATTTGTTTTGTAATATTTTTTATGTATTTCTTTCTTGCAAAATTTTCACATTGATTTAGATTTTAATATTCATGGTTATTTCAAAAATAATTTGATTACTTTCTTCCTGTTTGCAGGCGCTGCTTCGAGTTCTTGGATCTGCTGCTGCAGGAATGGCAGACGAGCTGTCTGGAGAGGTGAGGAAAAATAGAACAGTGGGTCAGCTGATGGCAGGGGTTCACAGTTTTAGTTGGATTAATGGTTAGTAGTATTTGAGGCGTGCCTTCAGCACTAACTGTGTGTAAACTGTGGAATACGCAGAGAGCCATGCAGTAAACAGAAAACAATAGCAGTGACAGTGATTTGTGGGACACTCGGAGCGCTACACGCTACCTTGTGAGGAAATGCGACACCGGCCGGGTCAAGGTCTGTCTCAGCGGTTTCCATGGCAATGCCGGGGGATCTCTGTCTGCCACCAAAAAGCTCTTTGTGTTTCCACCCGGCTGCTTCCTGCAGCCGCCGCCGCCAGGGAGAAACCCGAGCTGACCCCTCAGTGTCAGGGGAGCGCTCTGGTTCTCATCGATCACTCAGTCAGAGGCTGTCTGTGTGCGGATCTGAGTCATTGAGCTACAAATCAGTTTTACTAAGAGAAAGGACTAAAAATGTTTTAATTTGAGAAAATTAGGTCTTTGATTTGAACCTCAGTACCTTTCTTTAGGTTTTGTTATTAAAAACAAGCTGTGATCGCTTTACTTTTTCCATCAAATTTAAATTATTTGGTAACGTTCTCTAGGCAACTGCCTCCTGTTGCACATTCAGCACAAACTGAGCAACATCCCTAAATATTGATTAATAGAGCTGTAAGAGACTAAAGTGCCAGCAGAGCTGATGGAGTGTAGACTGCACAGCAGATGGCAGTTTAAAGGTCACTGCTGCAGTTAATGCTGGGACGTGTGCAGGCTGTGACTCTTCCTGTCATTACAGCTGTGAGATAGTGCTGCATGCATGGTGGTTGAGTTTGACCATGCTGAATGACGGAGTAGTTTGGCCTGTTTTTTCTTCACTGACTGTACTTAATGTTAATGCCACTGAAACTTTGAGCCACAGTTATCTCAGCGGGACGCAAAAGTGGCAGCAAAGCTAAAGCAGCTGTAACAGTCATTAAGCTGATAAAATAATAAATATTAATAAAATATCCTAGATCAAACTTTAAAGGTTTTAGGGTGGCAAAACCCTAAATTTTTATAAAGTTTCATTTAGCTAACCATGTGTCCCTAAACCTGCTTATTTTCAGCCTGAAAGGCTTTGGGTATTGTCGACACCATATATGTATGTATGTATAAAACACATCTTAACAACAAGGAACACTGAGGATGGAGAAAAGAAATCAGCACACAAATAAACAGGCGCATGTTCAAGCATTGTTTGCCTGTCAATGAAAGCAGGTACACGAACAGTTTTCCTGTTCTCCTCCCCCTGCAGGCACGGCACAGTTTTAATGGAGACTATAAAGAAAGGGATCCATGATGCAGATGCTGAGGCTCGCTCTGTGGCCAGAAAGTAAGTCTGAGCACACTCGCACCTTAAACCTATAGAAACAAAGGAAAAGGACATAAAAGCAGAATGTTTATCAGCCTGTGCCCTAATGGAGGTTTGTGGCCCTCTGGCTTGATGTTGCAGGTGTTACTGGAGCTTCCACAGTCACTTCAGCCGGGAGGCGGAGCAGCTGTTCCAGTGCCTGGAGTCGTCCTATCAGAAAGCTCTGCAGGCTCACCTGAGGAGCGGCGACAGTCTGATGTCACTGCCCGCCTCTGACCGCTCCTCCTCCTCTTCTCAGGAGAGCCTCAAGTGAGACTTCCTCTCCTCCTCCCTGATTGATCAGTTTGACTAAAGTCATAAAGGGAGAAAAGGTTTTAGTCTTTGTGGCCCTTCATCTAGTTTTTTGACTAACTCACATCTCTTTATCTTCTCACAAAGAGGAAAACACAAGGATGGAAGACTAGTTCTCACCCAATAACATATCTTTAATGTAGAAATAATGGAAACATCTAATCTATGTGTAGTTTTCTGCTCCTGGACTGATTATTGATCTATTTGCTGTCATAGACTAAATAGAAATGACTGCATTAAGCTGTTTAAGCTTAAACTTGTCCTGTAGTCACATACAGTAGTGCTGCTGCCACACCAGCCCGCTCATTCGTTTCGAATGAATTTCTGCCTTTGCAGATCACTTTCTTGCTCCCGTCTCTTTCCTCTCTGTCACTTGACTCCTGTCTCATTAACATATTCAGGGCCTCATTGATCTTTGTGCCGTCCACGTCTAATAAAAAGCTGCTGTGTTGATGTGTGTGCGCCGCGGATGAGCTGTTTGTCACAGATGGTCTTTTTTTTTAAAAGATGTGATTTACAGCAGCAGAGAGTGTAACTAATGTAACTAAGCCGTCCTGCTGATGAGGTGGGATCATGATATTACAGTGTGGTATTCTGTCACACATTTGAATACGTACAAAATGCAGTTTTTAAATGATGATTTCATTTATTAAAGTAAAATGTATCCAACCTACCTCGCCCTGTGTGAAGAAGTAATCAATTCATACACTGAAGAAGTGGCCTAGTCGAACTCTGGACTTAAATCCGATTGAAATGTTTTGGCCTTAAACGGGCTGTTCATGCTGGAAAACCCTCCAATGTGTCTGAATTAAAACAATTCTACAGAGAAGAGTGGGCCAGAATTCCTCCACAGTGATGTGAAAGACTCATTGTCAGTTATCACAAACACTTGTTTGCAGTTCTTGCTGCCAACGGTGGAACAACCAGTTATTAGTTAAAAAAAAAGAAATCAGGAAAACAGTGAATACTTTTCCACAGCGCTGTAAATGCAGGTCAATCAGTGTTTCAGTCTCATGTCAAAGGGTTTTTGTTTTGACACAAAGGAGCAGCACTGGCAGCTTTTTGGGGGAAGTCTTGAATGATTTTGTGACAGTTGATATCTCACACTTACCATTTGTTTGCTGTTCTAAACAAGCTTCTCTCTTTCGCTTCTTTCCTCCACAGTCGACCTCTGTCTGCAAAAAGCACTGTTGGGAGCAGCTCAGCCCGATGTAAGGACTGTTTGTTTGGCTCTTCTGTTCATTTAGAAAAACCTAAATCTGCATGCAGCAGATGATCTCCTGTCATGTTTCTTTGAGCTTTAAGAGGAGCATGTATTTGTCTAGTGTGTGTTCCTCAATAAAAGCTCTGTTATCACCTAAATGCAAGAATATTCGATTTATTAAAGCAAAAAAGGCACCAGAGGTGATCTAATCTGATCTGTCTCTGATCAAGTTGATTTGCCGTTAAACAGTTTGACTTTATCTGTCCTTCTCCAGCCAAACCCGCCCACACCTCCAGGATGCCGGCTGCCGCCTCCTCCCCCGGCTCACTCCAGCGCTCCCGCAGCGACGTGGACGTAAACGCCGCGGCCAGCGCCACCGCTCGCACGAGGATGCCTGCCGTACCCTCCACTGCGCCGTCGTCGGCCTCGCCCTTCAGCTCTGCCTCGGCGCTGCCTCCTGGATCCTACGCTTCACTGGGTGAGACAGCCGCTCACGTTGCAGTTATCCTGCTCCACACTCTGCTGTTGCTTCTAGCTGCAAACTGGACCAGCAGCTCCACTTATAGCAACGTATTTAACCTAAAAGCACGACCACGAGCACAGGCCGATTTTTGCAAAAATCACAGAGCACACTTTATAAAAACAAAAAACAAAAAGATGGCTCAAAAGTTCACACAACAAAAACTAAAATAACAGCTTGTAGTAAAAAAATCACCATCTGCTGTTTGGTGCTAATGAAACCCAAACAAATACTTTGAATAATTGCATTTATTCACCTTCAGATTCTGCTGCTTTTTATATAATTTGATGTCTTTCAGGCAGCAGGTCTTATGATCAGGATCAAGATGCTATTTCTATTTTTTCATTATATAATTGTCATGTTGGCTGATAATACGATTACTGAATCAATCTCAAATAAATAAATTGGTGTGGGC